TATGTTTATTCAAGTAGCAAATACACCTACAGTACAAGGTATTCTTCCAAATTTTTAAAATGCAGTGTGTGTTATACATAGGTAAACGGTTTTCTGTCGTTTTTTCCATTTTATTTCGGTACATGTCAGATGTGCATCACGTATAATTAAATTTTCAAAAAATAAAAAATAAATCAATGGTACAATTTTTAATTTTGGCTTAATCGAAATGTGCATTTGATTGTTTTCTTTACAAGTGAGAATAATGCTCGATTATATGACAGTTACAACTATGACTCAAATGTAAGTAAAAATAAACTAAATTCATTTTTATTTGAGTTTAAAAATCACGCTTATATTTTTAAAAGTTTTAAAATACTGTGTGACAATATTAGAGGGTGGGAAACTTTAACGCGCTTCTTGCAGAAGATTTGAAGAAATTTTCTTTAAAAAAAATTAGTTTCTAAAAAAAACTTTGCGTCTTACAGAAGTAGGGGTATGTATTCTCAAGTGAATAAGGAATATTGTCAAGTGAACCGATGGAGCAAGTCTGGCGTACACGTAACTGATGTACCTTGATGTACCTTTCATGGAATTGCACCAAGACACCGGCAATGCAAATAACATACAGATCTGAATCAGTTCTCAAATATTCAGGATAATTCAGAAAGGGTTATTCCCTCGTAATGTAGTGTTTCACAAAATACTGTTTTTCATTTCAGACTCGGTGTCGCGACGTTAAAAAGTATGAAAGATAAAAATGTTGACTAATACAGTACTTGTTTCGAGTCCACGGAATGAATTTTTAAATCTTACCGCTCTAGTTCGCAAATGTGTCATATTGTGATCACATATGAAACAAAGTGGGCAATTGGACGAATGCACTTCATGGGTTTGAAATTCGATTTGTACTTTCGGACAATTTTGAAGAAGTATACGTTGAATTGAATGGAAAAACTTTTATTAAATCGTGTCCAACCTGGAAGAATTCAGTCATTCACAACCGAAGTAGTCGAAGCAGAAATTTTTTGCTTTTTTGGTAACCATGCGCCAAAAATTGTACAGGTATTAAAATTCATCACTAGCCTTTTTGAGCTATTCGTTAAAAATTTGCAACTCTTTTGGAAAAATAAGATTACCATATTTTTAGTGAATTTTTGAAAACGCAATTTGAATAGCTCACTTGATGGGTGAATAAATTAATGTATCGCCAAAAAAGATACGAGTTTGATTCTCTCTTCTTCGACCTAATGTATTTTCAAAATTATATTTTAAAAATTGATGATACCAATCGAAAATTTATTGGCATATGCATTTAAAATGGCAAAAAACAATAACTTGCGGTGGATAAATGGAAAAGCCTGCACAACAAAATTAAAGTTTTGAACCTACATTCAATTTTGAAATTACAGGATCAAGTTTTGTTTATTTTACGAATTTGACTGATGACCACAGTGATCCTGCTACAGTGGGGTCTCGTTACAATGGATCTGGTTAGAAAATTAACTACTTACAACGACTTCATTTTTCAGGTTCCCACAGTTTCGTTGTACCGAGATTCGACTGTATGATGAATAAATCATTTTAAAAAATCAGGAGACTCGTCAGATGCTACGAACTCCTCGTGTTTGAGCCTAAAGTCAGCTCTTCCTCTTCCGGAGTTTTTTTTTTTTTTTTTTTTTTGAATAATTATAGCCTGAAAATCGGTCCGAAATTATCCGAACCACCCTGTATAATCATTCAAATTCTTCATTTCAATCATGTCTTCCGCTTTACTTTTGGTTGCGTGTCTGTCTTCATCCTGTCGGCCCAGGGCTGATCTTTTCTCTGTCAGGAAGTCGAAGTATAGGAAGTTGAGGTCGATGTTAAATCACGATTTCAAGGATCATGCTCAAGTTGTTCTCCTTCTCAGCTTTTTTTTACGAGCAATCGCAAGACAGAGGCATTTTTCTTCTGTGACCTTCGGTGTAACGGAGAATTTTGTGTTTTGTTTTCAATAAGTGGAATTTATTGTGTAGCGTTCTAACCGGAAACCTTCGACGAAGTGACACATTTCTGTCGGCGTTATGCTGAGAAGAATTTTTGAAATACCGCGGAAAATATTTATGCTGGGGTTCACTGAAGTTTTCAACGAATAGAGAATCTTTAGAATTCACTGAACAAGAATGCAGGAAATTTTGGGAACGATTCAGCGGTTGTGCAAGAAATAATTCGCAGTTTTTCTACGAAAAAAATTCGGATGAAAAAAAGGGGATTGTGAAAAGATAAACTTTGGTATACGATGACCTTCACTGTCGCTTCTGTTTGAATTAAGGTCAATTCAAAGCATGAGCATTCCTGAAATATGATGTTCGAATGGGTTTCTTTTTTTTTACGTACAGGAATGACGAGGTTACGTCGAAAATAAAATCTTCAAGGAAAAAAAAACTAAATCGAGAGTTCATTCGATGAAACCATTCTTGATGCATTCATTTATTTTAGTTCATTTTTTATCTGAATGAGAAAAAATATATTGAGATTATTTTCAGCCTCCGGAAGTGTAAAACGTGATGCGATATTTTCTCCCTTCCAAAATTTCAAAAAAAAAAACCTCGGCGTTTTTAATTTATTTGTGTGATTTCAATCCTATGTCTCAATTCATTGACCAAGTGGGAATTGAATTTGTCTTCTGGTGAGTTCTTAAGCGAATTCAAGAATGTGTAATTTCACATTTTATTTTTTCGATTCATCATTTCGATGACTTCAAATGAACTCTTCACCTTTTCAAAAAAAAAAAGTGTTGGTGCCTTGAGCTGAAGTCGGAATGATTTTTTTATTGTGTAGTGTTCAACGAAGGACATTTTTACGCACTTCAAATATTTGGATAGCCTCGAAAGTTTGAAAATGAAAATAATACTGTCTGAAGTAGCATTTGAGTATTTTTTCAAAGGGAAAGGGGGATAAAAATGAGAATTTCAAAAGGAAAGTTACTGTATTCGATTTTGTTTTTTTTTTCATCGCATTGATTTTTAATGTTTGTTCATCGTCAGCCGTTTTTCGCTGTGTGAAAAACTACTTCCGATGATATTTTTCAAAAATATCTCTTACAAGTTTTCCCTCCTTGTGATTTCAAGCGAATTCGTTTTTTGTTCCCGGAATCGATAGAAAAAAATGGGCGAAATATTATCAGAAATACTTGAAGAAACCAGAAGAGAAAGACCGTTTGATGTCCTGCATTTTTGATGGACTTACGTCACTGAAGATTGTTGTCAAAGTCCTATTGTTTTCGTGTCGAGATTTGAACGAAACGCGGAAGAATCTTTTTTTCGGGTTCTCGGGAGCTCTAGAAGGTGTGGCCGTGTTTTTTCTTAAATATTTTATTTCTAGAATTAAATTTTGGAATGATCTAAAGATTTGTTCCCTTTTTCTATTCCCTTGATTCTGATTTTTAAAAAAAGGTTCGTGGGAAACCCGTGACATTGATGATGCCTCTCGTGGCCTTGTCGCCATCCGAGGAGGAGAACCCGGGTTCTGAATTGTTTTTTTTTATTGATTTTATTCAATTTATTTATTTCACTTCATTTTCTTGTAGACACACGTGTCTACCGTACATGGCCCACGTGCTTAGTTGTATTCTGTGTTTGGATTATTCTTGAAGTTTTTTTTATTTATTCTGAAATTAATTATTTTAGTGACGTGTTTTATTCCGGGTTGCTCCCGTTATTTTTTTTCTTTTCGCGATAATGTTGTTACCTTTAGGGCGTGGGAAAGGAAAAAAATCGGGTTCTGGGGTTGGGAAAGAGAATTTACATTTTGTTTACCCGGATTGTGACGTAGGTTTACCCATTCTTGTGAATTAAGTTTTTCTCAAAAATTTGCATGACGGGAATATGGAGAGATTTTATGGCTTTGATATGCCGCAAAGGTCTCTGACTTGTGGCGTCTTGTCGCCGAGAAAATAATAAAAAAAGCTTCAACTTTTTTCAGTATTTTGGTCGAAAACAAGGTGGGGAAAAAATTGATAAAACCATTTCGAACAATCTTTTATTCAGCTAAAGCCTAAGCTGCGTCAAATGTCAATGAAAAATTGGCGGATTTGGTTTTCTCCCATTCGATTTTGGCAAACAAGCAATTTTTACTTTCGGGGACAAGCAGGGGCTATTTTTCAGTTTTATTCATCTATGAAGTTGGATGATTTGAGTCTGAATCTGTTTAATTTCAAAATGGTTTTTGAATGAACGAGTTTCTTTCCCGGTTGCGATTGTTTTTGTTTTTTTCTTTCGGCAAATTCGCATTTAGGCGTGGGAAAAAGAATGGTCAGGTTTTGGGGCTAGGGTAAATATTTAAATTTTGTTTACCCTGGTTGTGACGCAGTTTTTTCCTCTTTATTCTGGACTAGATTTTTTTTTCGAGAATTCTGACGTAAATATCCTGAGGGCATCTTCTTCCAGAGAAAAAGATGAGCTTTTATTTTTCAATGTTTGAGCCATTGAAAAGGTAGGAAAATGAATAAAACATGATCGATTGAACATACGAGTATTTTCTTGCCTTTCAAATACTGTAGATTAATAATTCAGTCGATGATAGTTTCATCATGAGTTCCTCATTTTTAAAATTCGGTATGAGGGCATTTTTTCTCTCTTGAAAATCACATGAATATCTGTTCAGTTTTTCGAGTGTTTCAATTGTTCACATTTTGGCACTGATTTTGGCACTGGTAAACTCTTATTGAACTTATTTGATTTTGAAATATTTTTTATAATGGCGCCTTTCTTTCCGTTTTTTTTCTTCTGTTTTTCGTTAAAACCTCATTAGGATGTGGGACAAGAACAGTCGGGGTTTTTGTTTTGGAATTGGAGAAATATTTAAATTTTGTTTACCGTGGTTGTGACATGATTTTACCATTTATGATGGACTGAAGTTTCCTGGAGCCTTACATGCCATATATTCAGAGATTCCTGTCCTCTGATATGACAAATTTTGAATCTGATTTGTGACATCCTGCAAATGACAAAAAAAACCTGTTCTTTTTCGGAATTCAGATGCAGTGAGTGGACTTTATGCTAAGCTCTTATAATTTCATTATTTTTTCGCATTAGTTGCGATGATGTTAAATTGATTAATAATATATAATATTTTCTTAGCACTGTACTTCGAATGTATGAAATGAAGTTGAACGGCTAGAGATCATTGATCAGATTTTTATAAAATTTTTGAAAAGTCATTTCCAGGATTTTTTTTCTGAAAGAGCAATGTTCTACTAATATTGATGCATTCAATAATTAATATATAATTATCATAGCACGTAAATGAGCATTCGGAGAGATCGATTTTACATTTTATTCGCATTGTTGACCAGTGTGCGAATTTTGGATAATTGCGGTTTTTTTTTAAGGAAGTTTTCATTCGTCGACTGCTAAAATCTTGCTCTTTTTGAGAAAAATCTGAAAAGACGGTTTCTTCAAGAGAATGCGGCGTGATAATTACTGTATTATTATCACTGCAATACATTTTATGATGCAGTGAATCTATACTTGATGATTCTTCCATATCTTAGGCGAATGGGAATTTTTTGAAAGAATTGCTATTTTAAAATCGATAGATATTCTTATATATTCTGAAAGTTTTTTTTTTGCGTAGCTTTGAAAGAAAATACTTCATTCCTAGTAATTTTTTTCGGAAATTTCGGGATTTCTACGAATACATGTTTCACCTTGATTTTAAAATTAGTTCCGACCTCGCGAAGCACAAATATGAAAAATCATTCGACGAGTGATTCAAAATTCATCGATGATCGTGAAGCAGAAGAATGCGGTTTTGAAAATCAATCTTGTTTTATACGTACGCTGTATATTTGTATGCCTGACGTGGAACTCATTTTATGTATGATTTAGGATGGAAAAAAATGGTGGCATGCGTCATTTCTTTTCGTGGACGACGTCGGTTTCTTATCCTTGAAATTTAATGGAATTTACTCCGTTTTATAGCAGTGTTCTTCCTCGACTTCTTTTTTCCGCGTTGCTTATCGTGCATTCCTCGAAGCTCATGAATATTTCATTTTCAGTGTGTGTCGACATTTTATATCCTACGAAAACTTCCCGACCCCTTTATGTATCAGCATTTCTAAATTATATTTTCCTTGAATCAACAGAAATATAGAAATACTCCTTCAAAAGCGTTTGAATACAGTGAGTCCCTGAGATGCGGACATAATTGGTGCGTCAAGAGTGTCCTTAAGTCGAGTCTTGTTTTCCTGTAGACTTACATTTTTAAAATTTTTAATTGGTGTTTTATGGGAGAAATATTCTTCAGAATTCCATGAAAAAAAAATTTGAATTTAATTTGATTCAGGGAATATCTTTTCAACCCAATAAGAACATTGGAGCATTGAATAGTGAACTGCTGTACAGTTCATTGAAATGTTGGCATCTAGAAAAATAACATTCAAGCAAAAAAAAGTAGAAGTCCCTCTGTGCTGGAGGTGAATTTTTTGATATTAGCTAAAGGGATGATAAATTGGTGAGAGAAATACCCAAGAACTTTTCTTACATCAATTTCAGGGTTGGAAATACCTGTTTCTTGTAATTTGGCATGAAATGTATTTGCAATTTTATCACAAAATGTCCCTATGTCGAGTCAATGTCCTCATGTTGTGCCTTTTTTATTAATTTTTTCTAGGAAAATAAGTGTCCCTTTGTCAAATTGTCCGCATGTGGGGGTCTCACTTTTAATGTGACTGAAAATAAGAAAACGCAATTCAGCACAAACACTTGAGTGTCACATACTTCCTAAATGTGGTGAAAGCATCAATGGTTCAAACAAGTGTCTTAAATTTTCAAACAAAATTCAAAAGATATATATGCATTATTAAATCAGAAATGGCAAGCAAAATTTAAATGTCACTTTATCATGCCTCTATAAGGACATAATTCCAGCATGGCAGCTGGTAGGAGACTCATCACATGGCTAATTGTCACACCGAATTGGCATTACTTGCTTTCATGAGCAGACCATTCAAGCATATTGAGAATTTAATCACCTTCTGGCTTTTTTCCAATGCAGGTAATTTCTGATTTCCCTGGGGATATGTGGGGGGGGGGGGGTCCCTGAGACCTCACCACAAAGATTTGGGTTTATAGTGAAATAAACTAATGAGCACAATCGGCAGTTTGCAGCCTGAGGGTTTCAAACTCCTCAACATCTGTTTGTAGATCCAAGTTCACAATGTTCTCAGCCAAAGTATGTCACATACAAAACAGGTCTTGTCTCTCCCAAGTTCAGAGCAGGATTAAGGATTTCTTCTGATGATTTTGCACAGGTCCAGGTCCAGGTCCTCCCCAGTGGAAAGCTTCTCCAAGGGTTTTCACTGGGGTGGAACTAATTTTCCGTGTTTGTAATTCTGCATAATTCCTTTGATTGAGTGATGATTCACTTGGTGGAATGATTCGTGAAGATCAATATCTTCAGGCTTCATTATGTTCAGAATTCTTCTGAATTGTTTTAATGCGGGCGACATCTAGTCGACCCGCGACAGGATATTTGAATCTCCGAGAACCAATATTGTGATAATGGTCAGGAACTGATGAAATAACTGCTTGACAAAAAACCGCATGGGTTGCAGAATATTGAAAAAAAACGTGAACCTGCACTTGTATTAATTAATTAATTAATTAATTTTGCTTGTTTTTTTTTCTTTCTCAGGAAAGTGCAGCACTTGAGGTTGGCCATCCAAGACGACGGCTACCAGAGGTTCTTTGTGGAGCTGCGGAACCCCGAGATCGTGTTCAAGAACTGCGGGTCTCGGGAATGGCGAGACCTGTTCGAAGAGATGTTGGGTATCGAATACGATGCGGAAAACGGGCCGCTTTGGCAGGCCCGCGTGACCCGGATGGGCCGCGAGGACGAGGCCAGTTGCCAGATCGTCAACGGCTGCGTCAACCACGGCTACGTTCTCCTGAGTAAGTGTGGCTGTGTAAGATGATGGGTTCTCTCTACTATAGTACAGTGTTCCCCAACCCTTTTTTTTTTGTGCCCCACAGACCAGAAAATTTCCGTTAAAATTTTTCACCGACCGGTAAATTTTCACACAAAAAAATATTCTGCGGACTGGCAAAGTGTTGGTAAATTTTTTGCACACTCAAAAAAAAAATGTTGCCTGAAATACTTTATGGCAGGTATTAAAAAGTCTCTGCTTTTTTGCGAAAACATTGAGTTGAGAACCAATGAAGCAGGTTCTGTATTATGGAATGTCTTCAAAAATTAGGAAGGTGAGCTTGAGCAAAAGTATCTCAGAATGAGAAATTAAAATGATTTATTTCATCCGGTGAAAGTTGGTCTGAAGTTTTATTAGGCAAAAAGTCCACTTTCATTTTTCATGAGATAATTTTAACTGCAATTGTCTTGCAAAATTTTCAGATAAAGATATTGTAGCGTACAGTACTTCATAGTTTTGATACATTTATAATGCTTGAGAAAAATTTCCCGCGGACCGTTAAAAAACCAGGTACCACAGGTTGGGGGAACACTGCTCTATATAAGTGAGTTTAATTCTTTTTTTGTTCTGGAGAGAAAAGAAAAGAAAAAATTCAGTGTCTGGGAATTAAAGATTGTGCGGAAAACCATCCTTAACACAATTGATGATACAAGTTTGACTACCGCGCCAAATTTAACCTCCCTAGGTCAAAAACTTTGCTGCGACTAAATTCCATCAGGGCGTTTTACGGTTTTAAAAATTTCGTGGAAAATGGCAGAAGTTTGCTGGTATATCGTTCGAAACAGTCTAACAAATATTTTTCTTCTTAGAACAAAAAACACTGTGATTAGTGTTTTTAACTTCTGAATAGTCGGATTCCATCACTCAATAATTCCAGCCCAGAATATCGTCAATTACGATTTCCCTTATTTTTTTTCTTTCTTTCCTTGATGAAAGGTCCCTTGGAATTGGAATGAAAGAGGTTCGACTGTACTATACAGTACACGTATAACGAATTTTGCGAGGGTTATCTGAAATAATATTGCAGTTGATAGGAAATTTCGCGTGTACAGTATTTTAATTTACTGTACCGTACCGTGTTTTTCACTTCCCCATAGTCGGATTCCATCACCCGATAATTGAGGCCCAGAATATCTTCAGTTACGATTACCTGTGATTTTTTTCTTTTTTTTTTCTTTCATGAAAGGTCCAATCAAATTTGAATAAAAGATAAGGGTTCTTCGAAGTAATTTTGCTGTTGAAACGAAATTGCGCCTGTATTTCAATGTATTGTACTGTACTGTGTTTTTCACTTACCTGTAGTCGGAGTTCAAAACTCGATAATTAAGGCCAAGAATATCTTCAATTACGATTTTTCGTAACGAAAATCAATTGTGATTTTTGTTTCTTTCTTTCCTTTATGAAAGGTCCCTTGGAATTTGAATAAAAGAGGTTCGACTGTACTGTACATGTGCAGTATAACGAATTTTGCGAGGGTTCTCCGAAGTAATATTGCAGTTGAAACGAAATTTCGCCTCGTATTTTAATCTATTTTACTGTGTTTTTCACTTCCCTGTAGTCGGATTTCAAAACTGGATAATTAAGGCCCAGAATATCTTCAATTACGATTTTTTTTTCCTTCGCAACGAAAATTAATTGTGATTTTTTTTCTTTCTTTCCTTCATGAAAGGTATCTTGGAATTTGAATATAAGGGGTTCGACTGTACTGTAAATTTATAACGAATTTCGCGCGGGTTCCCTGATGTAATTTTGCAATCAAAACGAAATTTCGCCTGTATTTCAATGTACAGTATTATACTGCATTTTTCACTTCCCTGTAGTCGGATTTCAAAACTCGATAATTAAGGCCCAGAATATCTTCAATCACGATTTTTCTCTTCGTAACGAAAATCAAATTAATCAATTGTGATTTTTTCTCTCTCTTTCTTTCATGAAAGGTCCCTTGGAATTTGAATGAAGGGGGTTCGACTGTACTGTGAATGTACAAGGAATTTCGCGCGGGTTCCCTGATGTAATTTCGCAGTTGAAAAGAATTTTCGCCTTTATTTTGATGTACTGTATTTTTTATTTTATTTTTATATTTTACTTTCCAATAGTCGGATTCCATCACTCGATAACGGACGGGACGTCGAATGCCAAATTTTGCACGATCCTGCTGAAGATAGTGAACGCTCTGTTGACCACCGGGTCGGTGCCGGAGGGCGACGAGGTGACCCTGGCGCCCAGCATGTGGGACCTCACTTCACCCGAGCACATGCAGAAATTCCGGGTCTACGACCCCCGGGACTTGCTGTCCCTGGCCAAGGACTGCTACAACTACGGCTTCAACGAACGCAGTCAGTACTTGCGTCGGTTCCCGCCCCCCAAGAACATGTTCCACTCGGAAATCCGGAGTGGGATCGTCACTGCTGAACTGACTACCGGTACGGAAACATGTGCACCCAAAAAAAAANTGCACCCAAAAAAAAAGGAGGAAATTTCTCGACCTTTTTTTCTTCTTCCGTGTTCTGTCGTTTTTTGTTGTTGTGCGAATCAACTTGGAATTGACACACTGCGGTTGGGTTTGATCGTTCTGATCCAACTGGACGTTGTCCAAATTGTGTGTTTTCCACCCCTTGATCAAATTGTGAGAGTAAATTCGATAAAAGAAAAATATCAAACAAAAGTAGAAAGACAAATAGCGCTTTTTTTTGTTCATCATTGATGAAGATCACTTCGCAGTAATGCAAAGATTTCAGAGCTATAAAATGGAGTTTGTGGCATTTTTCTCGTGGCGCCAAATTTGTCCTTTGCCTTTGTTTTGTGGCTCTTTTGCACATTATTTCGAAGACGTCAAATCGTAATCCAATCTTGTAAAGAACTTGAAGAATGCCACCCTATATTGTGGGATGGTTCTCAATTAAGAGAAGGAAAAAGTTGTCAATAATTGTGTTGGAGTAATTCTCACGAAGGTCTGTAGCAGAAGTTACTGGAGGTATTGTTCAGTCAACTCTGTTTATATTGAGATTGATTTCTCCTTTTTTTTTTACAAGCCATGAGCAAGTGTCTGAAACCTAACGGCTTGTATAAAATCTGGCTGCAATGAAAATTCGCGGGTGGCTCGAAGTAGCCGTGGAATATGCTAGAAAAGTCGAATGACTGACGTGAAGCGACACCTATTCAAATAATTTTACTTTCGCGCGTCACAATTTCGACGCTTATTTCAGAGATAACGACTGAACTGATCCGAGCTTGTAAACGCAAGGGCGTCACCGTCAGTGGAGCGTTTACTGCAGCTGCGGGTATTGCTATCTACAACCTGATCACGAGGCCCGAGGGACCCACGCCAGCATTGCCAAAGGTAATAAGAGCTTCGGAATGAAACAAAAAACTGAAATGCTTCATTCAATATACGCTGATTTCGACGTATTTTATTTATTTTTTAAAAAAGGGGAAGCGGAAATTCGGCATCAATCACGCGGTGAACCTGCGGCGGTACTTTGACAAGAGCAACCAGGACGCCTGTGGGTGCTACTTCAACTTCTTCGACGACCACGTGACGTGTGACGAGAACTCGTTGGCGCGGTTCTGGGAAGTCGCTCATGAGGCGACCATCAGCATTCACCAAAATGTGGACAACGCTCGTGGACTTGTGAGGGAATTCGGAATGAACCCCGAGACCAATTTGTTGTTCTTTTTTTGTATTTCATGAGCTTTTCAAGATTTAAAAAGGTGAATAAAATAAAGAGAGGGATGGAAGCTGGGGAACCGTCGTATGACGTCCCGAATGAAGAACGCTTCACATATGGCAAATGTTTTGCCGAGTATTCACACCCCAGAAGTTTCATCAAATTTTCGAGTATCCCACGAATGAATATACTGTACATTATTTGTTAAGCAAAAAAAGGGAATTTTTGGGGGCTCCCGTCATTTTTATTTTCAGACAAATAATTTTTTAAACTTTATTATTCGTTATGGAGGGTGTTGAAAATACTTATCATTTTTTTCCGTAATTTCCTGGAAATTAGAAGGGTTTGAAGCAACCGCAAGAACTATTTGGAAGACATTTTTCGCCTTTTATACACTGACCTTGAAATGCCGTAATTTGTCTATAATTCATTCATCTGTAAATAGTTCGATGATTCTATAATGCAATAGAATCCGGTTACAGCTAAGGATTTGGGGCTTTTTAAAACCTTTGACACAGAAAAATTTGTTGAAACGAATTTAAAAAGTGACATTGTGGGTATTTCATGCTCAAAAATTGAATCCGTTGTCAGCAGTAATTCGTTGTAACGAGATTCTACTGTAGTTCAAGTTTTATGTTTTCATACAGAGTTTTTTAAAAATCTCGCGCCGTATTAAAACCATGTATTAGGTCCATTTTGGGCACAGCAAAAGCCATTCAGGAACAAGGAAAAGAATTTTCAAAGCAATCGAAAAAAAAAAAATTTAATCAATACCATCTGGAAGTTACCAGTCCTCGTATATAACTTGAAATGTTCTCAGCCAATAAAATGAAAAAACTTGCTCTTCAGATAATAACATATTTCGGTTAACAGACTTATTCCCGTGTTGAGACAGATTCAGTCCGTAAACCGAGGTACAGCACAATGTATACACATTGTACTGCAGTGATCTTTATTTTGGATGAGAACTTATGCATTGTGTGAAAAAAATTGCAGAAAAAGCAGCGGAACCTGGATTTCATCTTCAATTATTTGTACCCGTCTGACTGGTACTGTTCCTGGCGTCGTCGTCGTGCCTTGCATTCTGCCAATTCTGAATTCTCCACGTCTAACCTGGGGGCTGTGGACAAGATGTTCAACGGTGTTGGAACACCAGTTGAAACCATCAAGGTGATTCTTCTGCTTGCGAAATTCATGATTGAAGTTTTTTTTTCGTGTGCGTAGAATGCGAGAGTTGTCCCAGTTGGACGCGCCCTCTGATTTTTTTTTAGAGTAGGTGTGATTCTAAAAAAAATGACATAGCGCATGATGTTCAAAGGTTCTAAGATTTTTTGTTTGTTATTTAAGCATGATGATGAGAGAAAACTTTCCGATTACAGCCAAAGTTCTCCACCCATGTCTAGGGAGTTAAAATGTCAGGCAAGCTAAAAAAAAATTAAAATTTGTTGTTTTGACCATTATTTCGATAATGGGTGAAACAAAAGAAGTTCTGTTCTTAGTTAGCTTGACTAATTTTCTAGAAAGAAACAATAAAACATTTTTTATCTTTCTTGCCTTCAACAGAAGTAAAAAATAATAATCTTCTGGTTTTAGCACCCTGTGACAAGAAAACTTGTCACATGGCAAGTGATAAGAAATGTTCCCATGAAAGTCCATGGGAAAATTTGACTTGACCTGCTCATGCTCCAACATGTGGACATAGTCTAACAAGTAATAATGACCACATCTCAGATAATCCCACTGTACTGTAATTGATTATTGCATATTTTGAGCAATAGTTTTGGTAAGTTGGAGGTATTCTTTTCAGAGGAATGGGACTGTTGAACCATTCATTGTTTGGGAGCTTGTATTGAGTGCAAATATAGCAGCCACAAGAAGAGATTGTGAATACAGTAATTTAAATTGAAAAGGAAATTTTTTACGTTGAAAATCAATACAATAATAAATCTGCTAGAATAATCTTTAGTGGATAATTTGCAGATAGGAGCAATTCATAATTCATCTTCCCTGAATTTTCTCAACAGTTCTAATCTACCATATTTACTTAAGTAAAACCAGCACTTTTTTCAAAATTTAGAGGAAAAATGAGGAAGCATGTTTAAGACAGAGACAGATTTTTTGTAACAAATTTTAGAAACTTAGGTGTGGATTTTACAATATGTTATCCCAATGGGAAATTTTGGACTAACTCCAACAGAAGAACCTTATGTAATTGAAACAATTTAAAAATACAGTACTGTAGTTGAATTCAGGATCAATTCATGCCAAAATTCAAATTTGGGTGTTCTAATTTTTTTGAATATTGAGTTTTTAGAGTTGCCTGAAAAGGGGGCACATCTTACTTAGGGAAACAGTTTTATAAAAATGTTTTCAAAATCCTCTATTATTTAACCTTCTCATGTTTTTCATCAACCTTTTATGACCAGGTTCCACTAAAAAAGGAATTGGGGAACCTATTAAAGCCAATTTTCTAGGAATTTGTAAATTATTGCATTCTAGCCATCTTGATTAGTGCAATTATCCAACAGCACGTCATTTCAGCAAATTGCAATATAGAGACACCCAGAGTACAGCACTGTGCTTTATTTTCCAGATGTTCCGGTCAACAGCCATGCACTACCTGCCCTCGCTCTTCACCTGGTTCTTCCAGACCTTCAGGGGCAGGTTCACGGGGCTGCTGGAATTCTTCACCAACTTCGTGACACGACAACAAGCCCAGGACTACATTGACGAAACAATGCGAGTCCTCATTGCAGGCATCGATTTGGCGAGACTTCCGTCGTCGACGGAACTGATGACCAGCGAGGTTATTGCACGCTAAAAGAAAAAATGTTATCCGCAAAATGCGCTGATTTTTGGTTCCCGAATATCGACTAACAATTGACATCCGGAAACGAAAAATGCGGGACCAACTCGGGATTATTTTTCAGAAATAATCATTGGATAAAAAATTTTTTGGATCGCGAACCAAATCTGGTTGGTTATACGTAATATTTTTTATTTCGGGAAAGGGAAAATCGTGGAGGGAATTTATGCGACAGAAAAAAAACGCCTTGGCTGTATTTTTCCCTCTTCTCCCGCATTCAGCTTCTAGGGGGGTAAAAATCCAAGTTCCCTGGAACGTTTTGCGTATTATTTTAAGATAAAGGGATGTGTGGAGTGGATACATTTTTTTTGTCTGTTTGCATCACGGGGTTTGATTTTGTGACCGAGTGTTTTTGCACGTTTTCTGCTGCTGATTTTTATTTTCTGAATGGTCCGTGAAAAGCTTTACGCGAGATTTCAACGGGCTCGTGAACATTTTTGTGTGTGGGATATTATTATTATTATTTTCTCCTCGTGAGCATCAGAAGATTTTTTTCAGGGGTGGAAGAGGAGGAAATACTAAAAAAAAATATCCGGATGGCATTCCAAAGCAGTGTTGGGAGGGATTCCACCTTTTCTTCAGACATTTCTTTTGTAAGAACTTTTTTTGTGCAAAAAAAGGGTACTTTCAAGAGTGAAACTCAAGAAAAGCTCACAAAGTGGGTAAATTATGATATTCATTCTGTTCTGCAGAATGATGTTTCGTGCGCTGTCCAAAACAGAATTTACCTTCTTCTCATCACAAACTTTCCATTGCTATTCGTGATCTATGCAGAATATTTTGCAACGCGTCAAAATCGAATGTTTTGTTTCTTGTTTCAAAAGTTAACATGTGAATTTGACCCTTTTTTTTGAGTGGGGGGTAATGATGATTTTGAAGTGAGGAAATCCCTTCGTAGTGTACAAATTTCGAGAACCCAGGGATATTTCATCTCACTCTTTTTTTTCCCCTCCTAGAATTTGTAGAAATGGATACGAACACGTTTTTCAACTTCTTCGGAATCTTGAAATTGCTGGTTCCAACGTGCTGAAATCGAGCTGTGATTTCAAAGAGAAGTTGACTGGCGAGTGTTTTGAGTGCGTCGCTCTCAGTTGAGTTTCGTTTGCGACGATTTTTTTTTATATCCAGTAATGTAAGAAAGAAACGATGCGGGAAAATTTTTTTCTCTGATGAGGTAATCAAGAAATCGATCGGGAATGATTGCATCAAACGGACGTGTGAGACAAAGAAGAAATTTGTTAAGGTTGTCGTGCTTGATTGTGCAACGAATTTGCAGAGTGAAAATCAGTAAAAAAAGACAGAGTGTTGGAGCAGTTTTCTTTCATCGATCAAAGGGGCAGGGCCAGCCTAAGGCGGGTGCAGTGGGCGCCAAAATCAGCACCAGGGTCAGTGCCAATATTTGCGCTGTAAGTCAAATTTTTTTCGGAAGTCAAAACAATTTGACTTACAGAGGCTCAACTATATTCCATTAAATTTCACTTACAATTTCCCAGAGCAGCTGCAGAGCACTGGAAATTGCACATTAAGCTTCAATTGCTTCCTGAATCAAAAATTTAGAGTCTCTAACAAGACTTTTATAAAAATTCTTCATGAAAATTAGCCGCAGAAATGAGTCAATCTCGGATCATGAAGATCCTTCAAGAAAAACGGGATAAATGAAGTTGAAAGTGTTAAAAATCGATATTTTACAAAGACATGAATAAGAAAATTTCACACTTGCCTCCAGGTTTTGTTCGACGAATGTTCTATATTGTGAACGGGTCAATAATTCTTAAGAATCACCAGCGTAGATCGACGTAGAACGTAGAAAAAAAGCTTCTTGACAGAAAGTCCCACGGTAAACATACGACATTGAACATGGTGAGACGTATTTCCTTTCTAGCACAATACTCCAATTTTCCGCTCTGTCACTTGTGAACACGTATCAGGAACCTTTTTCCTAAATCACAACTCATCCTGTGCAAAAATTGACAAATATTCTCTGCAACAGAATCTCATAAAATGAAAAAGAAATTAACTTCATCGAATCCGTTTATTCACAGCAGTCGGTGCGAAGGCATTCTCAAAAGGTGGAGACTTAGTCACTCACTTTCGCAACACAAAATTCCACGTTTCACCCAAAAAAAAAAAATCATTATGAGCACACGTCACTTGCATCAAAATCCGTAAAAAAATTAACGACTCGTACATTACTTTGCACTTGCACCAAGTTTCGAGCAGCGGCTGGCTCAGCACAATAAACGGACCCGTGCACAAAAATACATATCGCTTAAATCCTGACGTCACAATATCTCATGATCCAACAAACGTCCAAAAAAATAAATAAAAGAAAATGTCCGCCTCGCAATTTTCAATAAGGTCTCGACGGCAATATTGCAGCAGCAAAGCGATCAATCAATCAATCATTAGTGGAAGAGCCCAGTCGAACGGAGGGAAGAAAAAAAGTTCCTCTTTGCTTCCGAATAGAAAAATAATACTGCAATGTATTCGTATTCCTTTCAAATGCAGACAGGCGAAGAAACAAAAACAAAGCTATTCAAAATTATACCAAAGAATATTTTCTCGGGGCAGCTATCAAACCAGATCTAGGGAAAGTACCTCAAGTGGGTTCATCAGTAAGCAGGCAAGCAACCATCACATGAACTCCGACAACCTCGTTCGACCTGGATCGTCGACGAGATGATCGACGGATGCATAACGCGGATTTTGTGGGTCAATTTCCGGAGCACAACTTCTTGATCCGCACTTTCGTCTGCGAATAGGAACAGAAATGAAGAATTTATCGCTGCATAGGAAATTTAAAAACACCAAGTATTACAAGTAAGTAATGAATGGAAAAATACAAAAATCTATGCGAATTTCGACAGAAGTGAAAGCTGTGAAAAAGTCTTCAATAATCCTCAATCGAAGAACAAAATTTCTAACCAATCGTCTCTCAATTAGAATTCTCGTGAAGCGGAGTTAATTCAATGAAGAAAATTTCCGTTAAACGAATCGGGTGAAATGGTCAAAAATTGAATTTTGGATACATAAAGAAGCTGTTACAAAAAATGTCATGGGATTGAGTAGAAAAATTCTTCACACTAGTACCCTTTGCTGCGAAGTCCACTTAAACCCGCTAGTTAGAATGACAAATTCCAAGAAATTACCGAGTTGAATTGCATTTAATTCTGCTGAATCGCAAATTACCTCCTCATTCTTTTCATACACCATAGAAAATTGTTGTAAAATATTTACCAATAGCAACGTGAACTGCCAACGCGTGTTTCCCGACAGTCAGCGACCACACGTGAAAATCGTGGATCCCTTTCACATTTTCTACCGAAGTCAAATGTCTTCTAAGTTCTTCGTCGTCAAGGTCTTGTTTCGGAGTCGATTCCATCAGCACCATCAACGTGTCTTTCAGCACGCCGATCGTGGTCAAAATCACCAGGCCGGAGAATAAAAAGGTGCAAATCGGATCCGCAACTTTCCACTCAGGCTATTTCGAATAAGAAACAATCGCAAAAATCATTCTCTAAAAAAAATTAAGAGCCATTACCTTGTAATGAATGATGAAAGCAGCAATTAGCACCCCGACACTTTGTACCAAGTCACCCACAACGTGAATGAACGCAGCTCGGACGTTAATATTCGTCGTACTTTTTCTTCGAAAGTCGTCTTCCACGAGAACTGCAGAATGTTTGGCAATACCGTGATTGTGATCATGGCCATGATGATGATGATGATGATGGCCGTGATGAGGAATCGCGTGACAAACGCCATGCAGAATAACTCCGAGGCTAAAAAAAAAATAATTCATCCATCAGTGATCGTCCCACAAATTAATACCGAATATATAATATTCATTTATATTATGAATATACAGTATAAGGAAAAATGAATACGTAATATTGATTTTTTTAAATTCTTCTAATCTATGGAAGGAAATTAGCGACCCGCTCGTGGAAATGATCCCTAAAACGATTGAAACGATCTCTCAAAATAGCCCGTTAAATGAGCTAAGAATGAATCATACTGGGATTTTTGTAAAATGGCTGGAAATTTCATATTTCCTTCCCCAAAAGCCGAACAGTGGTTATTGCGATGAAACCGGTATTCGTCAAGTTTTTTATCCCATTTTTTCCACTTCTTCAAAAATACACGTACGGTATGCTCATAAATCCCAGATATACTGTTTTACATATTAGCTTTTTACGCGTCTGGTAGCAAAGTAGTCCCCCGAATTTAGATTTCATAAAACTACTGAACTCATTGGTGTATCGCGCACATTATTTTCCAAAATTTGTCGTTAAAAATCGGAATCGCCATATACAGGTACGAAGTTGAATCAATTTTCTCTGCATCTTGAACCACATAGTATAACTTGGGACGCTAAAAACGTCAGTTGGGAATAAAATGAGCATTCTTCCACTCTCGCACAATTCAAGCGTTTCCGCATTTCCAGGTCTCTCGATTGTACTTTTCAAAAATTGTTTTAGCGAGAACTCGACTCGCATAAAATAAAAATTTATTGCTCTTAAAACTGAGATTCGCGAGGATAATTGGCTTTTCAGAGTACCGCACTAATTTCGAAAACTGAAAAGAGCAGTTTCAAAACGGGCAAGTGAATCTGATAAACTCGTGAAAAAATATGACATAGTGTACATATCTACCATCCACTCCGGATGTTCATACTCACACTATATTAATCAGAACACCAATAGCAGCGACAATAATCATGGTATCAGCTTTCAAAGTGTAGGAACCACGCATCAGCCGGAGCACAGCCAAGTAAACCAAAACGCCGCTCACAATCCATATGATAATAATGCTCGTCAGCGCCCCGAGAGCCTCTTCAATGAAAAAAAGAAATAATTCTACGTTTGAAAAAATGGCACATAAATGAAGCCACAAACCAGCTCGGTAATATCCAAATGACATGCGTCTGGATGGCTTTTGCTTCCCGAGCCAAATGGCGAACAGCGATATGAGAAACGAGGCGAAATCTGACATGAGATGAGCAGCATCCGTCATCACAGCCAGACTGTTCGACAAGTAACCTCCAACTCCTTCGCCCAACTATAAATAAAAATGAACACATTCGGTATCTTCACACAAGGTTAGATGGTACTTAACGGTTATTTTAATTCATATCAATTAAAACCAACTCTAACGACTATATTGGAAGAAAAGTCTCACAATTTGGAGAAAAAATCGAACAATTTTGTTTAATTTCAAAAATATTTTTAGTTGCATCGTTTTGATGAACGCGGACTTCATGAAGTGAAAAATTCACTGATCCATTAATACACGAAAATATCGACTCAAATGAAGTACAATATACTTCAAGAAATACTTATGGTATCCACGATTATTTTTTCGCTATTTGTTTATTCAAATTTTCAATACTTTTATTGGTACTATAATTGGTATTACGGTAGTTTGATGAACACTGATAACATGAAGTGGTGAATAGTACAGTAATTTTGCGGATTGGGCTCAGGAAACCGAGTCCAAAAATTCCACGAACCGCGATTGAGGAAAAAATTCTCTACATATTTCCATACTTCTCATCTTCGAGATTATTTAGGATGCCGGGGCTTCTTCGGAGAACCGTCTTAGAAATAAAATATACTCACCATGAAGATGAGGCACAGCAAGCATGCCCAAAGCAATTGATTCTGAGCTCTCTTCGCATCGTCGAGTGTCTCACCACCAAAATGACAATGCTTCTTCGACGACCACGACTGGTTCGCAGACTCTTCATCAAAACTACCATGCAAATCCTCGCCACACTGAAAAACAGTAAAAGAAAGCGAAACAGAAAAGTGAGCTGAAAATTCTTCCGGAAATAAAACGCTTTTCTCGCATTCCCTACGAGCTATAAATAAATTCAGTTATACAGATACGGGTTTTGGAATTAATATCGTACATCAGGAAGTCCACTGTCGTCGCTATTTCGGATCTCTTCACCTATCACGGCAATACTAGTTTGAAGGACATCATCACGCTGATGACGCGATCTCCGGCCGGCGTTGACCGCAGGGGGCGAAGCCCCGGCAACAGGTTGGCACCACGTCGGTTCCTCATCCTGACTCGTTACCAAAGAAAGTCTAGGAGAAAACTCCACACTATCTGCATCATCGGGTAAATTTACATCATCCGTCGACCATGAATTCCGCAGCACGTCGGCGTCCGAAGGTACAGATGAGCGCTTCAGGAACCACAACCATCGCGGAGCCATCAGAACACGATCGGTGCCAAATAGCTATGAGATACTCAGTTTCCCGGTGGCATTTCAACATTGATTGTCTCAGAATAAGTTCTCACAGTCACCTTATGACTGAATCATGAAAAAAGTAAAACGACATACGTAAACGTAGAACTTTACAGTTTCACTTTTTCGTCACAAATACTGGACGAAGAACTTTCAAGAAACGAGCTGATAAAACACTGGCAGTTCACACGATACAACGTAACGCCACATCACGATTCCAAAAACTCAATCCTCAACCTACTCGGCGACGGTCGCGGAAATAGACAAGATACAAGACGAAACTTTTCCAGTGATAAGATTAACAGCAGGACTGGAAAACGGGCTCCGTACAGAGGCAACAACTTCCCCCAAATAACCCTCATCCGAAGATTTCCCGATTCCCCCACGAGAGCTCGACAAACCATGCTCTCCAGAAGACGCTCGCCGTTGGCGCAAAATCATGTACGCGCCCATGACAGTTTTGATGCGATAACAGAATTTCAAAGAGCTTTCGTTCAAGTGGCAGGACAGTGTAACCAACAATTCATTAATTTGACGAAGGAAAATAATAAAGTCAAGGCGATTTTGTCCTTGAAAATCAACTTAAGGCACGAAAAAAATTGTAAAAACATGTTGTCTTACCGGTTCAGGAGTTGCAGACGTTCCACAGCAAGAACCATCAGTTGAATGGATCAACTCCAGCTTTCCGTAGTACGTGTCGTCGTACAAAGCGGGTTTTCTTCGGTTGCTTTGCGATGTCCCCATTGTTTCAACCTTTCCTTTAAATCCAAAGAACGAGTCTCCGATTTCCTCTATCTTCACTTAATCTTTCGAAAAGTACAGCTTCAACTCCACGAACACTTTCTTTTGCAAAATTAAGAAGAACTCGCGAAGTAGCGATAATTCCGTCAGCAGCAGTTTCTTAAATCTTGTTCATGTCGTCATCCACACTTGATTACGGTCCTGAAAACCCCACGAATACAATTTTATAAATACTGTACATTTCTGCATTTTTTTTCTCCCAATCCGCAGGTTTAAATCTTGATGAGATAATTAAAATAACCAATGTCACTATAAAGTTCCACACGCGAAATCTAAAAATTGTATGCGAAAATCCAAAAACAAACGCGAGCAGCAAAAAATAAATTTGTAAAAAATAAAATCAGTCGGAATCAAACAACGAAATATTCTGCATTCGAAAATCGCGTTGTATATATGGTATAAGAATTTTGATCTAAATTCTAAATGATCTAAAAATTGAATTTTGAAAGATCCACAAACAAGCATAAGCAGCAAAAAATAGATTGCTAAAAAATAAATCAGACGGAATCAAGCAGCAAAATCTGCACTCGCACATCGCGTCATACATATATATTTGTGATGTAAAAAATCCAAAAACTCTACTCAAAGATCGAAAAAAAAAACATGAGCAGCGTAAAATGAATTTATAAAAAATTTTAGCAGACGGAATAAAATAAATTGGTTCTTCTGCATTCGCACAATCGCCTTATACAGTAAATATATAGAATGATATTTTTATTTTAACTTTATAAACAATTTTTAAAATTTCATTTGATGATCCACAAAGCAACACGAGCAGCAAAAAATAAATAAAATAAAAAACTAAATCAGACGGAATCAAACAACGAAGTCTTCTGCAATCACGCATCGCATTATAAATAGGATAATAATTATAAGATGATATAAAGAGTAATTCTTTAAAAATCGTACTCGCAGATCCCAAAAAAAGCAAACACGCGAGCAGCACGAAATAAATTCAAGAAAAATAAATCAAACGGAATATCGAACAACTACGAAGTCTTCCGCACTCGCAAATATATCGTGTTTCACTGTATATAGGGTAGGAACTGTGATATAAACGAGACACTGGCACAAAAAAAAAGCTTTTTCTTTTTGGGGAATCTTGACCCAATACGGTATGCAAATCACATCACAGAAGCACGTCAAGCAAAGCGACTCGGAAACATTCATCAATTGCAACTTTCACTGCAGTGCCTCGGGGGAAACAAAAAACCGGCGCATGAACAACCTTTCGTTCCACCAACGTCCATGTTTTTTTTTGTAAGCTAATATTGTATATCATATATTCCACGTCACAATAATAACGGGACGAGAGAAAAAAAAAACCGCATGAAATGCAGTGCTGGTATTACGCTCCGGATAATGAACGCCTCGCACAATGAACTTCACTCAACACATGGATGGACTTGAGCGGATTTATTTCTTCTATTTTAGTAAGATTAAAAACTCTGATGGTTTCCATTACATTACTCGTGTTTAAAAAATAATAAACTGTAGGAAAATTTTGTTGCTTGTTCAAATTTCAAATCACTCGTTTCTTTTAATTTTTCCATAATTGCAAAAAAAATTATTGTTGATTCTATGGCCTTTCTGTTGAGCTTTATTTGTAGGTTCGTGGGGGTTTGCTTGGCTCTCTGGAGAAATTTTGCATGAAACAAACCTTTTATTCAATAAAGCTGAACCTCTTAAAGTCACATTTGAAAGAGATTCAAAAACTTTGATTTGGAGAGTTTTTAGTTCAGCTTAAACCGAAGTAAACGTATCAAGTTAGATACCATTAATAAAATACCTTTTTAATAATCTTAACCAGTAATAAGACAACAGACATCTGGTTCCATTTATTTTATATGTTCAGGTTATTTTTATATAACTTTCAAATATATTCAATTCACAATATATTTGTTCAATCACACAAACATAAAAATAGAGAGCTTTTAAGAGAGTCTTGCTAAAACATTCCACAAGTCTCTCTGAGAAATAACTGCAAATGACTCTAGATTAATTCTGGAGAAATATGCGGGAAGGACGGTATATTTATACCTTCCTGGAAACATAAAATATAGAGGCAGAATATTTGCCTAGATTGCCGAACTGCAGGTTCCTTGAACACTGTTGAATATATACATCTGGGTATATATTATAAATATAAATAACATATATACACTTGGGAGTTCAACATAATAGGCTTCTTCTAATTTGGCAGTTTAGAATAAGGCAGTGCAGGTTGTTTGTCACTGTCAACAAATAGCAAGTTGAAAAGGAGAAACGAGCAATAACAACTATCACGCATTAATGCAGGCTGATGTGAGAGAGGGGGAACCAAAGCAAAAGGGGAACAGCTACAAGGAAACAAATACCTTGTTGAGAAGGATCTCCTTCCAAATAAGGAGAAAAAAAATAATTGCAATTCGGTTTCTGGATTACAATTCATAGATGTCACCCTTGCAGGAAGATTCCTAATCCCTGCTGGAGAGCATTAAGAAAATAATTTGCATCAGTTTATTTTTCTGGAATAGGTGTTCTAAACTTTAGCCCAATTATAATATAACATATATAGATCAGACAAACCCATGGTCCAAGGACTGGCACTGGTCTGCAGAAGTTTTTTTGCCAGTCCCTGTGAAATTTTTTTTAGCATAATACATGTATTTCAAGTGAGGATGAGAATTTATTTTATATCTGTACCTAAAATGTTGGAAGGACCATGGCAGTTGAAATTATCTAATGAAAATGAAAATTGGCTTTTTTCTCAACACCAAAGACAAATTTTCCCCTGCTGAAATGAATACAGGTAATTTTAATTTTTTCATTCTGAAGAACCTTATTTCAAGCCCAACTTTCAAAATTTTTGATGACAATCAGCTATAGCTGCTTCATTGGTGCTTAACTCAATTTTTTCGTAAATCAGAAACTTTCAAATACCTGCCATTAAGTCAGTGAAGCAAAATTTTATGAAACTTTTGCTGGTCTGCAAACATTTTTTTTGGGACTTTGCAGGTCCACAAACAATTTTATGGAAATTTTGCCAGTCCATGGGTCCAAAAAGGTTGGGGAACACTGATGTAAAAAAGTCGAACTTAGATTTTGGGAAGTTTGACAAACAAATTATTGAGTTTGGCCAACAGCACACACTGTAATGGGGCTTTGCCAACAATCAACTGAAAATTCGAATTTGCCAGAAATTAACTGGAAATTTGAAATATGGAGGTTCCTGAATTGAAAGGTCTGTCTTGACAAAATAGTCCAACAGAACTAAAAAGTTATTTAAACGAAATCAAGAATACAATTTCCCAGGGAAATCTGGAATAAATTAACCATTTCACACACCTCCAAATTACTCAGTTCAAAAAAGTTTTTTTATTTATCCCAGAATCAACTCTTCACATGTAGGTTTAGTCACTCAATTAATGGCCTTTCCCACTGGTCCAATGAATTGATCTTCCATTAACCGAGTCACCACTGCTCTTTCAAACAAAAAAAAACACTGATCAGCTTCAATTAAAAAACAAAGCTAGAGAAAGAAAAGCACTACCAGCACACATCAGACTATTCTTCCACAAAATTGCCCGCAGATTAAGTGACAACACGTGTCAATGCGTGCATCGCTTTTAGCCCATGGGTGCAGGTGTTCCCAGTCTTCCCGGAATAACTGGCGCATACCAGCACACATCAGACTATTCTTCCACAAAATTGCCCGCAGATTAAGTGACAACACGTGTCAATGCGTGCATCGCTTTTAGCCCATGGGTGCAGGTGTTCCCAGTCTTCCCGGAATAACTGGCGCAAATTACGACTATACTCGACTAAACATACAGCTTTGTCATTATAAATATTGATAACTATTATAGCCGCAAATGTTTTACTTATTGATAAGAGTTCATCCGGAGATTAACAGCGAAGAAAATTGCAAACGGAATTAAACTTAGTTTCCCTCCAGATTAAGAAGGCGAAATCGCAACAGAAGCAATCCTTCAAATTACACACTTTATTGCATAATTTTTGACGGAAGAAATGGCGCAAAATTGAAAACTCAGGATCAAGGCTTTATAGAAAGCAGCAGCGAGAAAATTGGAGGACAAACTAAATGCGTTAAAACACTCGTCTATATCGAAATAAAAATAAGAAAAAAATTTCATGATTCACCCGTAGATGCATTAAATTGCAAACGGAGAAAAACAATAAATACGGTCTATGAAAATTCAAAATAAATATTCGGCATTAATAAACCTCAGATATATAGGGTTTTAATTATTTTTCTGCAAAGCGATGTTCATACCGAAGGTCATGTTGTAACTCCTCAAAAAAGAAAGAAAATGCGTTTTTAAAATGCATTAGAAACAATATAATTCCACTTTCATCGAAAAGAAGGAAATCTGAAAGAAAGAAAAATTTGGAACGAAAGTTTTTACGAGGAAAAATAAATCGAAGTTAAAGCTAGACTTGAATACTGTACAGGGTAGTCCAGAAAATTTCAGTCAGGAATGAAAAATAAACGTCATGAAATTCGGCGAGAATGAAAATTTATTATAAGTACATCCAGTTCAGTTTTTGAAACTCTTTGGGTAATATTTTTACTTTCCGCAAATTTCTACTGCGAACATTTGGAAAATTTTCGGGTGTATAGAAAATAAAAGTTTGAAAATGTTTCAAAAGACATAGGATTTAAATTTGGATTGAGCCTGATTCAATTATTGTACCCCCATTCATATAATTATTGCGTTTAGTCAAAAATTCTTTGGGCCACCCTGTATTTCATTTTTTTCCGAGTCACTTCTCCGATTTCACGCACAAAAAACCTCTGGTCGAAATGGGAGAAATATTTTTATTGAAATTCCTGATGAGAAAATTATTTTTCTAAAAGTGCTGAATTTAAATCATCATTTTCGGTCAAGGCAAAAACAATTCGCTTGCATTAAAAAATTAATTTTCCGAAAGCAATATCGGAAAATCGATTAATTGATTCTATTCGCCGCGAAGCGAAGCAATTTTTAAAATTTTTAATCTCCCCGAACTGAAATTCAAACCATTCTTTTAGGTAAAGGTTCGAGCCAATATAAAGGCATGCAAAAAAAATTCGTGTTCACGGTCACAAAATAATTCAAGAATTTTAAAGTTTGTGTGCAGTACTTCGGCTCGAAGCGATGTCAAATTATTTTTTT